CTTCGGCGAGCTCGTGTTCTTCACTGACTTCAACCCTTATGGCAATGCTCGTCTTAGAAGGAAGCGGTTCTGGACTGCCAGCAAGGCAAACTTCTATTCCTCAGTGCTGTACAACAAGGACAAAGTCTTCGATCATGAGCATATTCCTCATGTGTACATGGAATCCATGTCGTGCTTCTCTCAAGTCCTCAGCATGATTCATGACGCTGGCTTGCTCAATTTGTGCTCAGACATAGTTGATTGGAATGAAGAGCTTATTCTTCAGTTCTATGCAACTTTGCATATCACAGGTGATGCTGCTGACGTCAACTCATTGGTGTTGGACTGGATGACTGAAAACACTCATTACAAGGCACCAGCCACTGACTTGCTTCGGGCCTTACCAATCAGTCCTCCACCTGACGGTGCACGCTGTCTGTATGATGAACCTGAACTTACTGATCATTATATGCAAGTGCTCATGAAGCCGCTGAAGCCAGGACAAGCTCCAAGGACCAAATTCATCGTGAAGGAATTTCTCTATGTGCCGAGGACAATCTATCGCATTCTGATGAAGACCATGAGTCCCATCAAAGGCCATGACTCATCCGATGAAGAAATTATCGGAATGATGAAGAATATGCTTTTCAATATCATGCATGGCATCCCCATAAATTATCATGATTTCTTCATGAGGACTCTGGCGAATGTTGCACTTTCACCATTTGAGCTGAAGCCTTATGCTCCTTGGATTATGAGATTGCTCAGAACAAGGTCTTCAGTCAACTACAAAGCTGACTTTCAGAATCACCTCAGCTACTTTCCCCCGATTGAAGTCCTCAAACGGACATATTCTTCAGGTGAAGAAAAGGGCAAGGCACCTGCTGTCATCGATGAAGGCATTCGTCCATTGGATGGTCAGTTCCGCAAAGCTGCATCTTACTCCACCAATGATGACTCTACCACTCATGATACTACTGCCAATGCTACCAAGACAAGTCCTCAAGCTACTGCTCCTCGTGTGTTGACTGATCGTGAACTACTGATAAGTCTTCACTAGAAGGTGGATCGCAACCACAAATGGGTTAAGCGTCAGTTTGGTTCTATTCTTCACAACATGACTTCCACACATAATGCAGTAAAGAAAAACCACTACTACCTCCATGAAGTGTTTGATCGCACCTGGGCTATTCTGTCATATTTATATGGTGAAGAAGATCTGAAGCAAATGGGCTTCAAGGAAGACTTTGACTAGTCTGCTCCTCCTCCGAAGAGATACAAGAAGGTCAAGGTTCCTCCTCTTGGTGGCCAGCTCATATTCTTCACCGCGCGACACGGACGAGCATGAAGACTTGGACGACGCTGCAGCAGGCCCTACAACGACTCAAGACCCTGACAACGCTGGCGCTCCTCCATCTACTTGATATTCTTCAGGGGCGTTAGTCCTCAGTTTCAACCCTTTTGGTCATTCGATGACAAAGGGGGGGATTTGAGTTAGTCTTCAAGCGGGTCTATCCTATATGGGCGTTTTTTTGCTAAGTTACAACTCTCGTTCTTCTGATGACTTTGTTGCATCGAGTTGTAATCTTAAACTCTATGGTGACCTGATGCTTTTGTTGTGTTCTTCTGCATGCTTTTCCTCATTAATGTTAATGCACACATGCTGAATTACATCAGTCACCATATTTCATCATGCATTTCAAATTCTTCATAGTATATATCAAATGCGTGTATGAATTACAGGATATAGGGGGAGATCTCCATGATTATACTCTTCAAGTGTGCATTGCTTCAAAAGCTAATTCCTCACTATGCACATCTTCAGGGGGAGTTCTTCTATATCTTGCAATCAAATTCATCAATATCAGTATTTACACTTCATATGTTTATCCCCGTTGAAAACTTAACCTAGATTGTCATCAATCACCAAAAAGGGGGACATTGTAAGTGCATCTAGTGCCCCTTAGTGATTTTGGTGTATTGAAGACTTATAGGTTAAGTGACTGATGCATTTTGTGAGTGTACACAGGTCTATAAGTCTATGAGGAGTTTGATATTTACAGAGAAAGTTGACCCCTAAAAATGAAGTTCTTCATCTGAAGACTTTGGATATCTAAAGACTTTCTGAACACTTTGAAAGTGAAGAAATTGGTGTGACCTTGAAGACTTGGTATTCATCCGAGGAATATGAAGCGTGAAGACTTTTGTTTCGTAGTTTAATTTTCTATTTCTTGAGTCATAGGAAACACCGTACTGTTAAATGGGTCGAGGAAATACTAAGGAAAAATTTCCATGTGATGCTCAACTCAAAATCTTACACCTACCAATCCCTTCGAGTGAAGCCATTGGAAATCTCATATAGTTCAGTCATATTCTTCAGTGACAGAGACAAAGTTCTTCTGGTCTCTAAGGAATTTGTTCTGACTGAGGAGTTAGGAATTCACTAGTGTGAAGTGCCTACATAGTGAGGAACATGATAGCCCTGAGGATTTTGATAGTCAAAATTCCGACCGTTGCTGTGCTACGCGCCAGCTGTCCCAAAATATCCACCCACCTAACGGTAATATCAGACAAGGGCATTTATGTCTTATCATGTCGGGCTGCTCCCTAGGCTATAAATAGCCGCCCCCCTCAACCACTAGCTGGTTGGCTGCTCCAAAGAAACTAACACTTGTCACTTGAGAGCAACCCATCCTCCTAGGACTTTGAGCGAAAATCATCAAGTCAGGAAATCCCAAACCCAAACCTTCAAAACCGCAAGTGATTGAGCATCACTGAAGAGATTGATCTTGTGTGGATCCGACGCTTGTTACCTTTGAAGACTGTGCTTCTTCCAGGCGGTTAGGTGTCAAGGTCTAGAGCATCCAAGAGGAATTGTGGATCACCGAGTAACCAAGTTTGTGAAGGTTCAGAAGTCACCTGAAGACTTACCACGAGTGATTGGGCAAGGTCTGTGTGACCTTAGCTTAAGGAGAATACGGTGAGGATTGTGCGTCCGGGACTAGGTGTCCTCGAGTTTAAATACTAAGCCGCTCCAACCAGATGTACAACTGAGACAGCAGTTGGAACTGGTCTACCAAATCATTGTCTTCGCCGAGCTAACTGGTTCTATTTCCTCAACTCTTCCATTTCCTCATGTATGTTGTTGTGTGCTTGTTCATATCTGTTTGAAGACTAATGACTGAAGACTTTCTCAATTTCCTCAGTTCAATTTCTTCAGTCTGTCTGTCTTCATCTTGTGTTATCCTGTGTTTACGTTTTCTGTACTCTGTGCTTGTCTTCATTTCATCATGATGACTGTGCTTGTGTTCTGTTATGTTCCTTTCTGAGTACTTATTCCGCTGCAAGTAGTTCTTCATTTAGGAATTTCCTCACCATCAAATTCCTTAGTGAAGATTTCATAAAAATCACCTATTCACCCCCCACCCACCCCCCCACCCCCCCTCTAGTCGATATAACGCACTTTCAGCAAGAAATAGCATTGCTAGAGGAACTTGAGAGCCAGCGAGCTACCGGCCAACCATCTAAGTGGCAGAAAGATCTTTGCTTGATGCTGCCCAAGAAGCTACCCCACCATCTCAGCGGAGAAGCAGCATGGCTTCCGCGGAGCTCGTTCAGCCTGATTTCACGACTGCTCGCTACCCCGTGGATAATATCACGGAGCTAATGACGAAATGCCAGAACCTGACTTTGAAGGCAGCGGCCGTCTCTATTATACCTCCTCAAGCTGAGGGAACTTTTCATTGTCGTCCGATTCCACATGGATATGCTGTTGTGACGATGAAATGATGGCGGGATTTGAGGAGCAAACCGGGACTAAAGGTTTTGGGCTTTCGTCCCGACCCTTTAGTCCCGGTTCCAGAACCGAGCCTAAAGGCCCTCTGGAATAGGGACTAGTTCCATGTTTTCTACTAGTGAGGGGCTGCGCAAAGTGGCCATTGAGGAGAGAAAAGCACGTGCCACTGAAAACAAAGCCATGTCCAAGTTGCTTGCCGAAGAGAACAAGATCATGACATTGAACCGCAATGACATGGACGACCTCACCAAAGAGTGGCATGATATGGCAAGAAGAGATTCTTGAAGAGGAGAATGCTTGCGTCGGCTAGTGCGTGTTACAGTGCCTGAGATGTTTTCTCAACGGGGTTTGGAACCAATGTCGCCGATGCGTTCAGTGCACCAGCCGATGATTTCAGTGCCGGAGCTGGAACAAGTGTCGGAGGCGGACTTGGTGGTTGCCATGACCTCGATGGACTCGGCCAAGATGTTGTCCTACAAAACTAAGCTTTTATTTGCGTGTGAACTGTGTTCTATTGTTTCAATTTGAACTCATTTGTCGAAATCCATGTCAAATTCGATAATTGGGCGTCTTCAGTTTGCGGGTTGACGCAGCGGCGCCCTAGCAGACCCAGAGTAGCCGACCCATAAAAGAGCATATTCACCGAATATCCTTTTTTACGGGTCCGTTTTGCGGGGTCTGAGTCTGACCTTGCCCGCGCCGGCCAGCATATACCCTTTTTCGCGAACTGCAAAAGCCTTGTGCGGGTTGAAGTTTTACGGGTTCTGCTAGAGTTGCTCTAAGTAGCGCGGCGCGTGAGATGGAAAGCACGGGAAGGGCGGGTTGGTGGTTTGGGAGGGTCAAGGCAGTCAGAAACGGGCTTGGGAGCGGTCCGGACTCCCGCAAACTTCTCCACGTTTGTCGCTGTTTTGCGGGAAACGTGTCCGGACAGCGCCTCGGACCGATACAGGTCTGCATTCGATGGCTTCCACGGTCCGGACGGTTGTGGGAGGTTTGAGGGTCGGCATTGGAGATACCCTCAGTGCTAGACTGATGTACTGGTGTACTTAATTAATATAAATCACATTTTTTGCTGAAGACAAACATTTTACTGTAAGCCGGTTTACAGAAGATTAGAAAACGTCTTGCTGAGCCTGTCCAACGTTCCATGAAAGCATCCCCAAATATATTTCTCAGAGTCAAAATTATTTATGCTTATAGACATCTTGAATCGTTTCTACGGAGCTCAACTAACGGGGCAGCAGCAGTTGCTTCTGTCGTTGCAGAAGGCTCCGGGGACCGGCGGCTCGCGGGCGCCGCCGCAGAACTTCTTGCACCGGTGGTCGGTGCAGTGTGGGAAGTAGTTGGAGTAGCACGACGCCGGCACAAAAGAAGCAGCAAGATCATCCATCTGCAAAGCAATTTGTGTAGTAAATCTTCTGATCTCAGAGAGACCGTGCAAATCAAATGTGTACTACTACTAACCTCTTTGCGGGCATCGCATGAGGAGAGGAGGAGGGTGGCAGCCATGACCACCATGAGCGCGGCCGCGAAGCCGCAGCACATCAGGGCGTTCGTGTTCTTCTTCAGCATCGCCATGGCGTACGGTGCAGGAGGGATGGAGAGGCTAGTGAGCTACGCTTGTGTATGTGATTCGTTGTACAGCACGCTTCTTCCTTGCGTTGTGTTGTTGTTATTGTGATTCGTTGTGTGTTTATATAGGACATCGTGTTGGAGTTTCGCCTAGCCAATTATATGTAACTGCACCGCCGGATGTGTCCACCGCACATATCATGGGCAAGCGTGGCGCCGCCTGGTTGACACGCATGGGCAAGAGAATAAGTGTGCCGCCAGAGTCGTGTGCGTTAGTTAAAGTGTGGTGTACGTGTGGGCTACAACCAGAAAGAACTTATTCGGAAAAGCATGAGCCGAATGGACAAAGAACTTATTCCCCGTGTCCTCTTGCTTTCTGCCCTTCCCTACCTATTTTTTTGAGTAGTTTTGGTTGCTTACCACATGTGTCACATGGCGTGGCCTCCCCTACCTTTAAAGCATCTCCAACAGTCGCGCAACGCGTGGCGCGCCCATCGCCAGGTTTGGCGCGGCGCACATCGCTAGCTCCAGCAGCCATGCTAAAATACAGCACACGCACGCAGCTCCAGCAGCACGCTAAAATGCAGCGCACGCGAGCAGCCCGTGCATGTCACATTTGTTGTATTTTGGACACAAAATAAATTTCACACATCACAAAACAAAGGCATGGCATATAATTTAAATCACAAACAAGTTGATGACCAAAAGTTCATGCCACAAGTTCAAATTCATGCCCACAACATCATTCAACCAAGCTCAAAATGCAAACCAAGTTTATGACACAAACGAAAGGCACAACAATCAAGCCTCCAACTGATCACCTCCAACGGATGGATCCCTCGGCACGTCCTACCAAGTTTTGCATAGCACGGCGTCTTCGTCCTTGGTGTAGTTGCCCGCTCTTCCCTTTGGTTCGTCGACAATGCCCTCACCATCCACGTCCACCTCGAACCCATGGTCTTAAAAATGCATGTCATTGGTTTGAGACCAATGCGAATTGTTGGAGCCAACACCCATAGTTGACATGTATGCATCATCGTAGACACTACAAAGTATGTAGAATAATGCAAATAAGCTATCTATATGTATGCATTCAAAAAATAACAACAACAAAACAGTTGGCGAAATTTTATACCTTTCGGGCATTTCCACAAACACGTTGTGCGCGTCGGCCGCCGGCTCAACGAGTGAGCCCGCCGGCGCTTCGGTAGCCGTCGCGCCCGTCGCAAGCCCTGCAAGCTTCTTGTAAGTGCACTAGTGCCACCCCTAATTGGTTTTGGAGTACTGAAGACAAGCTTGCTTGAGGGACTAATGTGTTTGTGAGAATTGTAGGATAACACAGGTAGTAGTCCCATATTAATTTGGTTTACCTACTAGAGATGACCCCTAAAAATGTGTGAAGACATTGAAGACAATGGTGGTCTGTGAAGACATTCACATTGAAGACTATGACAGGAGAAGACATCGCGTGAAGACTATGGAGTGCGAAGACATAGTTGTTTCGTAGTTTCCTTTTCTTCTTTGTTGAGTCATAGGAACCACTGTACTGTTAAGTGGGGTCCAAGTGAACAAAGTCAGAGTGACTGAAGTGATGCTCAACCAAATCCTATGTCTTCGAGCGAAGACAATGAGAGCAAATCTTATCCAAAGCTGGATGAGTCAGCGTGGCTTGTAGCCCAAGCTATGCTGCCGCGTGTGTTTGAAATCTGACTGTTGGACATGTGTAAGTTCCTTAGTGACCCAGGGTCATTTCAGACAAATCAGGTCGGGTTGCCTCCTGGCTATAAATAGCCCACCCCCTGCACCATAAATTGGTGGCTGCTCAGAGTTTGTGCACGGCTTTTGTCGTTTAAGAGCAACCCACCTCCTAAGCTTTTGAGAGAGAATCCTTGCGAGGACAAAGCCCAAAACACCCAGAGCCAAAGAGTGTTAGGCATCACTGAAGTCTTTCTGTCTGCATGATCTGAAGACTTTATACACTCGAGGACTGTGAATCCTCCAGCTGGTTAGGCGTCGCGTTCTGAGCATCCAAGAGTCATTGTGGATTGCCGGTGAACGAAGTCTGTGAAGGTATGGAAGTCTCCCTTGAAGACTTACCATAGTGATTGGGCAAGGACTAAGTGTTCTTAGCTCAAGAGAAATAAGGTGAAGACGTGGTCTTCTGAGTTGAATCTCAGCCTCCCTAACCAGACATACGGTTGTCACAGCAATTTGAACTAGTCCAACAAATCCCTTGTCCTCTCCGAGCAACTGGTTCTATCCTACCTCTCTCACCTTACTTACCGTTTGTCTTCGTGAAGTCTTTGCCTACTTGCCTTATCTGTTTGACTTCACTGTGTGAAGACTGTTGTTTGTTTGGCTTCATACTATCTTCCACCCTGATCCAATCTGCCTAGCTGCTTATAGTCTTCGTGCTTTCACTTCATTGCTTACTTGACTATAGCTTGTCTATTGTAGTCTACCTTCTGCTGGATATCAATAGGGTCATTTCTATCATTTGTCTTCGAAACACCCATGTTTTGAAGACTTTCATAAAAATCTCCTATTCACCCCCCTCTAGTCGAATACTAGCACTTTCAATTGGTATCAGAGATAGGTGCTCCCTTGTTCTGTGTGATTCGGTTTAACCACCTGGAGTTTAGCTATGCTGACTGCAGGGATAATCGAAGTCTCCGCTGCGTGCCCTGTCTTCGATGGCACTGACTACCCCTACTGGAAGAATAAGATGCGCATGCACCTTGAAGCCATTGATGTTGATCTCTAGTATGTCGCCAAGAACGGCGTTCCCAAGACTGGTGAAGGTGTCACTCCTGCTGATGTCAAGAAGTTCGTGCAACTGGACTCAACTGCCAAGAACATTATCTGTGGTCATCTGACCAAGGGGCAGTATGGTCATGTCAGTGCTCTGGAAATAACAAAGCTGGTCTGGGACTGGCTCTCCAAGGTCAATGAAGGTGTCTCAACATAGAGAGATTCAAGGATCAGTGTTCTCCGCAATCTCTTCAACCGCTTCAAGAGAAATGACAATGAGAATGTCCAGCTCACATTTGATCGCCTCACTGATATCACCAATGAGCTTCATGCACTCGGCGCCACTGAGATCACCAAGCACAAAATCGTCAAGACACTTCTGAGATCTCTCGACAGCTCATTTGACACCCTGGCCCTGATGATTCAAGAGCGCCCTGATTTCAAGACTCTCGATCCGTCTGACATACTTGAGAGGCTCAACACACATGAGTTCCAGCTATCTGAGAAAGGAGATATCTATGGTCCCAACTATGACCGTACTCGCGCTTTGAAGGCAAAGGCCGTCTCCTCGTCTGAAGAAGAATCTGACTGCAGTTCTGGTGATCCTGAAGACATTGGAAAGGAGCTTGCTATACTTGTGAAGTAGTTCCAGAAGTTTACCAAGAAGAAAGACTTCAGAAAGTCTTCAAGATCCAGCTCAAGGAATGATGAAGCTTCCTCTCATGATCACAAGAAGAAGAAGAAGAGCAAGGAATGTGATTCTGATGACAACAAGAAGAAGAAATCCTCAAAGTCTTCTTCCAAGTCTTCATCGAAGTCTTCTTCACACAAGAAGTGATCATCTGGACTCGTGCTTTTGTTAGCAAGGAGATGGATTCAGAGGAGGAGTCTGCATCTGAGGAGGCAGAGGTGCAGTCCGAAGAGGAATCCGATTCTGGAGTAGCAAGCCTGGCTCTAGCTTCTGCATACGTCGCCAAGTCCATCTTCAACACTGAAGACAATGGCCTTGTCACCAACGTTGATGCTAAGGATGAGGATGACTCTGCTCCCACCAACTACTTCATGGCATGTGGTGCCAAGGTAAACTCACGCGATGCCTACTTTCAAACATCAAATGAAGATGACTCTGAATGTGAATCTAAACCTAGCTACAAAACACTTGCTAAAATTGCAACTGAACAATAGAATGCCATGGAACATATTAAAAACTATTAGACAAGAGCGATGACCTGTTGGACGCGGAAATGACCCGATCTTAGTCCTTAATTGAAGACATTAAAAATCTTCATATTGAGTATGAGGAACTTGAAAGTCGTCATGAATCGCTCTCAACCTCTCATGAAAAGCTTTCCTATGATTATCTTCAAAGGAAGCAGGAAATTGAGAAACTGAGATCGGCTCATGAAGATCTTCAAAAGAAAAACGAGTCACTCCGCACTTAGCAGATCAGTTCCGCTCAGGAAGGATTTGAACCACCATTTCTAAAATGTATTGAGCATGATAATGTTGTCTCTGTTGCTGAATGTTCAACTGCTACTACTGTTGCAATATCTTCAACTGCTGATGTGGTAACTAACCCCTCATCTGTGGATACCACTACTATTGCTAATGAGAATGCCAGATTGAAGTCATTACTTGAGACAGGAATGTACAAAAGTCTCAAAGGGCATCAGACACTATGTGATGTCCTTAAAAAGCAGATTCTGAACCGAAACCCTAGGAAAGAGGGTGTTGGGTTTGAGAGGAAAATGAATGTTGATGGTTCTTACTGGATGCATGAGCAGTACCCCAAAACCACATGGGTTGCTGCTAAGGGACCTTCAGTAGATCCATCTACCTTATCTGGCTTCACTAGTGCTAACCCAATTATCATTTGTGAATCCTTTGATGCAAACTATAAACTATTCAGGAATTAGAATGGTGAAGTGTTTGCCAGGTATATTGGTACTAACTGCAGGAATGGACAACCTCTTAAGAAGATCTGGTTACTGTCATGGAATTGTCATGGCAGATGTCCTAGTGTGAGGACTTAGTCGTGAGGCCAACGCATCTATGTAGTAGCTTGAGAGGGGTTGAGCGGAATCAAGAAACTCAGCACAAGACAAGGGTTTAGATAGCTTCGGGCCCCGGGAAACATCATCCAGTAACAACCCTACATGTTGTTTGTGGCTAGGTCTCATTATCATCACGAGGGAATCGCCCTAAACCGGCTCTCCTAGTTATGTCTAGCCCTAAGATTACCCCCCCCC